GGGGTCAGTGGAGGGCAGGGGAGGAGGGGAGGGAGAGGGAACTGGGATTGACATGTACAATGAGCTTGTTTCTAATTTAAAGAAAAGAAAGAAATGTCTCTTCATTCTTAATCACCTTATTACTGTAGCTCATTTTCAAAAGTAGGTAAGAACTAAGATATAACTATTTGCAGGATAATTTTGAAAGTATATATACCTACTCCACATTCAGTCTAAAAATTCAATCAGACAAATCTTGGAGTAACTTGAATACTATGAATGTAGTATCTATTAAAATCCAAACTGAAAGACATCAGAGTGATGAAAACCTACCCAGACTATGAACAACCACAACTCAAGTAGGGGGAGAGAAGGAGCATGGAGTCCTCCTGTTCCCTAGGCCGGTCAACACATCACCCCAGGCTTCAGCATTTCTCCTACAGCAGCTTTAAAAGTATCTGGGGCTATAGGAATGAGCTACTCAAACTTGACTCACTACTCAAATTTGATATATTTTAACAATAGTTTAGTCTGATAGCTGTCAATATCTACAATGATCTAATATAAAGTAACAAGTACTCAACATTTAATTATATGTTTCAGTATGTTTACACAGTTTACTAAAGTCTTGGCATAGGGCTGGAGAGACGGCTCAGAAGTTAAGAGCACTGGCTGCTCTTCCAGAGGTCCTGAGTTCAATTCCCAGCCACCATATGGTGGCTAACAACTGTCCATAATGAGATCTGGTGCCCTCTTCTGGTGTGCAGGCATACATGCAGACAGAATACTGTATACATGATAAATAAATCTTAAAAAAAAAAAAAAAAACTTCAAAAAACGCAAGGCAACATTATTACTAAGAAGAAAATAATGGAGTTCCTACACTGCAATTTTAAGGCCAGCTCCAGATACACAATAGCATGACTCAAGCAACAAAATAAGTAAGTAAAATTTAAAAGTCTAATATAAACTACAGATTAGTTAGAACTAATACTAACTAACAAAATTGGCTAGGGAGATAATATAAATACAAGTAAAATTATATAGGCAAATAAAGTTGTATTTAGGAATGAGAAAGAGAGAGTGAGTGAGTGTGTGTGTGTGTGTATGTGTGAGTGTGTATGTGTGTGTAAGAGAGAGTGGAAAAAGAGCCAAGAATTTGAGAGAAAGAACAGAGGGGAGCATGGGAGGGGATAAAGAGAGGAAAAGGAAGGGGACATGTGATCTGTGATAGAATTATAATTTCAAAAATTATATAAAAATGATGAAGGATTGAAATTTCATGAATTTTCAAAGCAGATTT